TTAAAATATAGCGGATAAAGATAACATCAATGCGGAGAAGATCTTGTTTACGTCAAAACCGAAACCAAGCCGTTCACACAGAACGCATATTTCACGCATTTTCTAGACGGACATCTATTACTGTTGCACTCGCGTCTTGCACAAAAGAGCCGCATGTTTAGAAAGCCATGTAAAATTAATGCAAGTTTTACTTTGAAAAAAACATATATCGAGACTTTATGGCTGTTTTACCCCTTTCCACTGCAGCTCATGTTTTTAAATGAAAAATGTACTCTGTGTGATTGGTTTCCGCCCTTTGTATTAAACTATGCATGCATACATGATGCTTTTTTGTTTATAGTTGTTTAAGCAACTTAATTATAATTGGTTTATAAACATTATTTTAAACATTATGCACTTTTTTTCGCAGATAGTCATGTTATCTTATGCTTTGAATGATGCGCTGTCTTGTGGCCTCAGGAGAGAAGCCAAAAGCTTTTCTTCACCCTAACTGAAATTATGCATTTTAAATTCGAATATAATTCGAATTTTGATAATATTTAAGTACAAATTTCGAATTTCGTTTTTCAGCCATTTTGACAGCCCTGATAGGTACAATATATATACATACACACGCACACATTTTATGCGGTACATTTGTCCATACCAGTTCAGCAATGACAGGGAGGAAGATAATGATGGTGGCTGTGTTACTGGCGAATTCAGTGAAGCAGGCGATGAAGGCTGTGATGAGGATGACTGCGACAGCAGGAGGAACCTGGGCTAGAGGCTGCAGGTGATTTCCTATCCATACTGCTAACCCTGACTCCTATTGGCAAAAAAAATCTTTATGTGTCATAGGGTTTACAAAAAATCATGAGGGTCATAGGGTTTACACAATGACTTCCAGTGAATTATCAACAGGTTGACTGAATTACAGGTGCATCTCAATAAATTAGAATGTCGTGGAAAAGTTCACTTATTTCAGTAATTCAACTCAAATTGTGAAACTCGTGTATTAAATAAATTCAATGCACACAGACTGAAGTAGTTTAAGTCTTTGGTTCTTTTATAAATGAACTTTTCCACGCCATTCTAATTTATTGAGATGCACCTGTAGATCCTTTTAGGCATTAATTACAATTTGAAATTTTAGCCATGTAATGGCAAGTTCCAGCTTGTATTTCAGTCCAAAAAGTGAAAAGCATATACTGAGGTACCTCACAGCCTTTGGCCATTGCAAATCCACCACCCAGTAGCAAAATAATATTCCATGGCACGCTCTCTTGAGCTTTTCTCCATGACAACAGGGGCACATATGGTGTATTTGAGGCTGGAGAGATAACGATAAAAATGAAAATGAATTATGACCTCAAGCTGACTGACCATCTCAAGTGCAAATCATATGTGAAAGAAAGATTTAATAGTAGGACGCATTCAGATATTCTATTTGGAGGGGGTCAAGGATTGTTTATAAAAAAAAAAAGATTATTGAAAGACGCATATTGATCGACCATAAACCTGAATGATCCTGTATAAATACACAAATATATAAAATATTCATAAACGTATATAAAACCACACCAAGTTTAAAGCAGTTCCAATCTACAGCTCACACTCAACATTCATGTTGTTGCACAAATACTGTGTATTTGACATCTGAATTTGATTGCATCTTTTGAACTGCACAAGGAAAGAAAATTGATTTGGACCTGGTAGAGAACAAAATGCATCTGACAGGAGATGAAATGTAGATCTGTACTTCATTTG